ATTTGGTTTATTTAAAAAAAAAAAAGAAAAAAAAGTGGGGTGAAATGAAGGAATTAAAAAATAATATATTAAACTAGGTTCATTGATTACTTTAAAAACATGTTAAACAATAGCGAAACAGTTCACAAAATCACATCAAATACAGAGTAGATACATATGTCGGCTATTAATGCCTAGTAAACCTAAAGCTTCCACGCTGCTTTCAGCATTATTTCTTCAAGTCAAATGTTTTCATAATAAAATAAAAGTTCGGCAATGCTATATTGAAATAAATTAAGTTGAGAGATGCATTATTATTCAATTAATTACTTGTAGTATATATATATATATATATATTATAATTTCAATTGAAAGGTGTATAATGACATTAGATATGAAAAGACAACCTGAAATATAATACATCTTTTCACCTACGGATGCATCCGTTGGTAAAAGTAATCAACTTTCAAATACAGTAATTAGCATGGGTAGGCCTAGGGGGGTCCTGGGGGCACTCCCCCCCACCCCCCAATCTTTTGAGAATTTTTTTTAAAAAATAAAATCGTGTTTGATATCGATTGAAATCTAAATTTTAATATAAATCAAAGTTAACAATTAATTTTAATAACATATTTCATGGAATCCATAACTGTTTAACTTTTATCAAAATTTACTAAAAAATTTGATTTTAATATCCACCAAATATGGGCAAAATCACANTTTTTTTTAATTAAATTATTTCATTAAAATTTATTTTTTTTGCGATACAAATTTCTCAATATAATTTTCATCATTTTATTAGGAAATTTTATATGGAATATGATTTCGAAATTTTACATCTGAAAAAATCATATCCCATATAAATTTTCGAATGTAAAATTACATGGGATATGATTTTTTTGGACATAAATTTTCGATTGTAAAAATTTTCCCAACTTCTTTACAAATTCGATTGTGCCCCCCATAACTTTTAAGTTTTGTGTCTGCCCCAGTAAGTAGCAACATAATTTTCGTTAGTAAATGCGATATCTCTTTACCAACAGATATTCAATGCTTCACGTCGCCATTTAACATTTGGATCTTTCACCTACGGAATATCTGTAGGTGGCGTAAGGATAATTATCAACGGATGAAACAGATAATTCATTGGTAAAAGTAATCTAACGGTGATATCTCTTTACCAACGGTTATTCTGTGTCTCATATAGTCGTTTAATATTTGGATATTTCACCCACGGATATTCCTGGGTGATGTGCTGATATGCATCCGTTGGTAATGAGAAACAAATTATCCATTAGTAATATTAATCCCATTTTAATTACAATGATCAGCAACAAAATTGTCGTTGCTAAAGGGAATATCTCTTTACCAATGGATATTTCGTAACTAATTTAGTTGTTTAACATTTGGATCTTTCATCTACAGATATTTCGTAGGTGGCGTTAATCTTTTTTTTTTTTTTTTTAAAACACGTTTCAAGCTTTTACCTGCAGAAATTTCGTAGGTGAAGATTACTTACTATTACCTATGGAAAATCCCTTGCTAATATTAATCAATTTTAATGATTAAAAAAATTCAACAATTCATCAACTTAATACCTGTACTTGAAGAATAATTACTTGTTTTCAAAAAAAAAAAAAAAAGAGTTTTAACGTCTACACCAACTGATATTCTGTAGGTTAAAATTAATTCATATTACCTAAGAAAAATACATTACTGATATAAATCAATTTTTAAACCTAAAAATTTTAAAAACTTCACCGATCAAAAATTTGTAATTGAAGGGTAATCAATTCTTTTCCCAAAAAAAAAATAAAAAATAAAAATAAATCAACATCTTCATCTTCATCAATGGATATTCTGTAGGTAAAAATTAATTCATATTACTTACGGAAAATCCGTTGCTGATGTTAATCAATTTTAAAAACTCATTTTTTAAAAAAATTTCATCAACCAACAATCCATAGTTGAAGGAAGGGCAATCAATTTTTTCAAAAGCAATTAACTTCTTAATTGTAGGTGAAGAAGAGTAATTTATATTACCTACAAAAAGTTGTAACCGATATTAATTATTTTTAAAACTAAAAAATGTTTCAATTGTTCACCTAGCTACAATTTATGAAAGACTATTAATAATGTTTCGTCCTTTAACCTATGAAAAATACATTGATGAAGTAAATCAGTTTTGCAAATGGTAAAAAGTTTGAAATATTCGAAAGTGATGGTAATTGCTTAGGGAATAGTCGTAAATTAAGTTTAATTCATTTCAATTCTATAGAATATCCTTTTGTTGAGAATTATGTGTTTAACAACGAAAGTAATGTTTAGCATCACTTCATGTAGTTTCGTGCTACTATTAAATTTTTTTTCTAATCTAATCTAATATGATATTTTAATTTTATTTTCACGTGCTACATATTAAAACAAGGTTTTACTCATTTTTGTTGGTAATGAGAATTTACATCGAATATCTTTCAATCATAGCATTTTAACAGTAAAATTATAAACTTGTTCATTACGTGCTTAAATCAATTTTAGTATAGTTACATGTCTAGTGTTGACCCTCAAAAAATGAACTTAACAGATGTCTGACTCACTCGTGCGTAAGTCATATCTGGCACGTTAAGACGCGGTCGAGATCACTCCAAAGATTGGACGTGGGAGAAGCTCAACGACACAAAACGTTTCCGTCGGACTCCGACAAGGTTAACAGAACAGAATTGTATGATAAACAATCGATGAAGGCAATATTTGTAGTTGTAATAAACCGATAAGAAAACAAGATAGGTTGCTCTGAGTATTTGAAGTTTCATTAGTCTTCAATTGTTACATGGTGGGAGCAATTATAGTGTTACAAATGGAATTGTGATTCTTGGATCAATTTATACATGACCTCATTTCCTTGGCCAAAGGTCCAAAGCATCAAATCATAGCCATCATGTTGACTTAACTAGTTTTACAAAGCATTAAATGCTCTTACATTGACAAGACAAGACACATACACACTTACTACAAGGGTCACATCAATCATTCGTATGAGGATCTCCATCATGATCAAATCCTTGCACGTGGGCCGTCGCGAGCTGGGAGCTTGCACTTGGGCCTCTGTTGATAACAGAATCTCGAATCTAAGAGGCGCTGTCTTTGGGCCTATGCTGATGCAGGCCCTTGGATAAGGGGCCTTGGCCTATACAGAAGTAAGGCCTAGGTTAGGATGGTTGGTTTGGATTAGATCCCACATGTAAATTTTGATGACCACGTGGCGGTTCCTAATGACGAGTCGTAACATCTAGTAACCTA